ACAGCTTGTTTCAACTTGAAGACTAAAAAAAAAGGTCATCAACTTTGAAAAAGTTGGAATTTGTAATCTTTTTTCAGATTTTAAAAATCTAATCCCACAAATTCAAAATTTTTCCTGTGCGTACGATAATTTTCCGGTGTGCACGATAATTTTACGGCCCTGTGTCGATCAGACGAACTAAAGTCTCTGGGATCACTGGGTCTAGCTCTAGGCTTGTTCAACAGTTCTTTCTTTTCCACCGTTTCTTATAATAAATCTTACTTTTTCATATTAACTCTGCGTTGTCTTTTTTATCAGCCGTACCTTAACAAAATCCTTTGCAATTTCTATTAAACTTCGAGTTTCAGATTTGTTTTGTTTTTGTTATTTATATGGCAATTTTTGTGAAACTTTCAGAAATTTTAAGCATTCATTAAGCGCACTCGCTTCGCAAGCGACATTGTTTTAAACATTGTCAAATGTGCATTGTCTCCATGTATTTCTCCGCGGCGCGTGGTGGGGGTATTACTTCTCTTCTGTCGTGTAGCTAATCTCGGCTTCCCTCGGATTCTTTCGGTTTTCCGACACACCGACACGTAACATTTCGTTGTGTGCGAGGCATGCTGCGACGCTCGAGAGAAGGGGTAGAAATGTTCTACCATCTGGCTACACTGTTGGTAAATTCCGACTATTGCCGACTATTACCGACCGTTCACGTAAACAAATGTTTCTATTAACGATGGTTTAAAAACATAACCTCAAATTAAGAAGACGTATAAAAGTACTAGCTCTTAAAGTATTTACTAACATTTTACGGGTAACATATTAATGTTATCGAAGATAAAAATTGATAGATTTATTTTTATTTAAAAATAATGGATCGGCATGAACTTCAAAAAGGTTTTACTTCACTTAAACCACTTTGCGATTCATTATTGAAAAATCCAAGTATTAATTGTTCGTTGGAGATTATTGAGTGTATAAAAACAATCTCCGATGGTGCTATTCAAGATTTATTTGATTACATTTTATTTCCTGTAATTGTACATTTACAAAATGAAATTGTCAGGTAATATAATAATAATGCATAATATATTTTAATAACCTTAATAAGAATATTGTGTCATTTCATTTGTTTGTTCTATTTATTTTTAGTAAACATTGCAAGGAACATTTAGTGAAAATCATAAGAGCTGTTTTATCAAAAGGTAAAATAACAAAATATAAAGCTTTTGACAAGTTATATACTATTGTTTTATCTTTAATTTATGACAAGAATGAACCTCAAAAGGGTATGTATAACAATTTTCATTTATTAAATTAAACTGATACTGGTATAAAGTTATTTTTTATAATTGCATGTAATTTTACAGTTATTTCTTTCTCTGAAGAATTGAAAGAAACAGTACTACTCTGTATTCAAGATTTATTAAATAATTCTTTTACAAATGTCATTGAAGAATTATATACACGACAATATGCACCGAAACTTGCTCATAGTATATATTTAAGTGTATCAATTGCTAAACATGAAAAATCACGTTTCTTGAGGTAATATATTATTTGATTTTTTTTTTGTCTATCTTTTATCTATATTACAAATAATATGTTGTAACGATATGAAAATTGTTCTATGATACAGGTTAATAGCAATAGAAACTGTAATGGTTTTGTGCTATGTAAGCGATTCTTCCAACCAGTTTGATATCGTCTTTGTAAGTCAAGTAGCAGATACTATAATGTTATTGTTACCAGGTATCGTTGGTGGATTGCAGGAAGTTGCTTTGGGAAGTGATATTCAAGGTCATAAAGTTACAATGGTATTAAAATTTATATTTTTTAGTATAATATTTTTTTTTATTATTATTATACTTGATAGATTAAAATTATATTAGATGGCTATCAGAGCATGGGCTAGGATAATACATCTTGTAATGCAAGATAAGCTCGATGAAGAAACTACACCATCGATTTTTAACATTAAAGAAGAAGTAACTAATGTGATTGATCCGTTAGAAAATAAATTACATGGTGAAGGAGTTAATGGAGTTGAAAAGATTTTAAATTCGACTAAGAGAAATCGAGAGTGGTTAAATGCAGCAGCTATTAAATTAAACGTACTTGTAAGAGCAATGAATCCCTTAAGAAAACATTCACATTTTAAAGTTAGAAAAGAATTGACTACAAGTATTAGTTTATTAATATCAAAGTGTGCCAGGTTAATATTAACAATTATTAATAATAAATAATTAATATATTTTTCATTTAATTCATCATTTATTGACATAATATTTATTTTATCAAGAAATATGAAGCCAAGCATTATGCAGTTAATAGAATATTTGATTTCCTTATCTGAAGATGACAATGAAGAAGTTAAAGAAGAAGCTAAAAAATCGTTAGATCAAATTAATGAATCTTATATGAAGAATATAGATATGAAACCATTGGTAGAATTATTAGAAGAAAGTTTTTATAAATTACTTACACAATTGCCACGTATTATAAGAAGTTCTGGTAAGAATGATGTATTTAATATTACTTATACATTATCATTTTAATAACAAGTATGAATATTCATGTCTACATGTTTTATATTTAATATTTAATGTTTATTTCACACATTTACAGATGATAGCGAACAATTAGTAGGTTTAAATCATCTTTGTGGATATTTAAGATTATTAGGAAAAGAAAGATTGCCAGCTACAATACAATCTGCAGCACATGTACGAAGATTGATACAAGCTCTTGTATACATCATTGAAATCGATTGCAATGGTATTACTCTTTTAGAAGATGTCGGTGTAAAAGATTTTGATGATTTAACTCATCGTAGTCAAACGCATTTATGGAAACAATTGAAGTTTATACAGGATCCTTGTTGTAAAGACAAAATTGTTACTATATGCGAGCTTCTAGGAACGTACAGTGATTTAAGAATTTTAATCGACAATATTTTTCAAGCTATGTATAATGTACCTCAACATAGGAAAGAATTAATATATCTACTTAATTCAATAGTCAATGGTAATTGACAAATATTAATAATGAGAGAAAAATTAGATTAATAGAAATTTCAATTTGTCTACAACCAAGTTGAATTTATCATGTTTTAATGTTACAGTTCCTATTACATGCAATAATAATACATCAACGTTATCATTGTATAAGGAAATCATTGAATTATATATTACTGAAGATTTTTGGTATTTACCTATCGAAGTTACAGAAGATATATCGTTACGCGTTGCACAAAGTAATGTTGTACAATGTTGTCTATTAACGGAAGGCTTAGGACAAATTGCTAAAAATTTAGGACGCAATTTTGAAAAATTTCTTCTCAAAATTTTATATTTTGTTATAGAAAGAGCTGGTATATATTATCATTATTTTCATGCTTTTATATATACATGCGTATTTTAATTACAATTTTTTTTTATTACAGGAAGTACAAATAGTCTTTTAAGTCGAGTAGGAATAGAAACTTTAGAAAATATTGCAGAAGCATTAAAATATGAAACAATAGGAGATCTTTTACGTGCAAATGTAGATTATTTTTCTTATCATGTGACTATTAAGTTACGTAGATTAGAGAGAAATCCAGGAGTACTTGATGTTGTCAAAGTTGTCATGAAATATAGTTCTATGGACGTGTTACCATGTTTAAAAGAAATTGTACTGGATGTTCTTTTGCAATTAAATAGTGTTTCTCAAAAACGTAATACTTATTCATTTTTAAACGTTTTTTATATATTTATATTGTATATAAAGAAATTAACAGCAGAACTAGACGCAAATGTAACAAAAACATCACCTACGTTAGTTAATTCAAAAGAAGAAAGAAAAGCAAATGAACAAATTGATGAAAATTTTAACGATGAAATTACGGATGAAGAAAATACAGAGAAACAAAATGAACAAACTGAAACGAATTCGATAGCTGAGGAAGAAGGTATGTATTTTGTAAATGATTTATTTATATCGTAAAATAAAAAGTATTTTTTGTTTTTTTATAGAAGAGGAAAAGAAAAATTTACCAACGCACATAAAAATGGTCGAAGATGTTTTGAAAAGTTGCTTACATTTTTTACCTTCAAAAGATAGAAAGCAATTACTTATCGCTATGTTAACATTAGAGGAAGGTTTACCAATATTAATTAAATATGAAAATCAATTGTTACCAATCGTACATCAAATTTGGCATCCATTAGTAGACAGGTTTAAAGATCAAAATGTACTTTTGATTAATCGTTCATGGCAATTATTACGCGTACTTGCTCATGTTTCAAAGGATTTCATTAGATCTAGAACATTGAAGTAAGTTCATTTGTTCATTTTGTTTTTGTTTTTGATTTTTTTTTGGTTTTGTAAGATAAAAATGTAATTTTTGTTTTTAATCGAATCTTATAAACAATTTAGACAAATATTACCACCATTGTCAGATTTTATGAATAAATCTGCTAAAGAAAGTTATAAGAAGTCTAAAGATGCGGCTTATCAATTTACACAAATGTACAAACTTCAAAAAGAATTATTATCTACGTTGGGAACAATAGTACAAGATTTGAACATTATTGAAAAAGATCTATGGAATATATTGAGTATTACAGAAGTATATCTCAGTTCGTTACAACATCCAATATTACAGGTAAAGTATATATTATCGTTGAATAATTTAATAATATATACATAAAAGAGGGAGAGATTAATTATATGATATTTCTTGTAGCAATGTTGCATGAATTTGTATAAAGAACTTGCCGATTACAATGGTGATATGGTTTTGACAAAATGTTTTAGTATTTGGCATTCTAAAGTAGCACCAATTCCAATCAATGAAATATACAATTTTGTTTTCTTGAAGGTACCGTACATATCTATTTCATTAAATAATATACTTTTGTTCAATATATAAGTTTTATACATTGTTATTTTATATTCTTTCAGAATACAACAAATGTAATGTCAAAAGAATATGTACAAAATGTGAAAACAATAATCACATTATGCGATAACAAATGTAGTGAAATGCCTACAGAGATAGTAAATGATAATTAAAAAGGTGAGAGTATCAAAAAAATATGTCAATTTTTGACAATTTGTATAGGAAAACTTGTATGGCGAAAAATATTATCTTTCCATGATGTCTGAACATCATTTTCTAGAATCGTGTACGTGTTGATTTATATTTTTTAATCGTATATAACTAATATCTTCTTCTTCTTCTTCTTTCTTCTTTCTTTAATATATATAAATTATGTGTCACGATGTTTGTTCGCAATAGACTACTAAACTACTGAACCGATTTTAATCAAATTTTGCACACTGTGTGCAGTTTCATTCAACTTGAAAGATAGGATAGTTTATATCTTAATTTATTGCAAATTATTTGTTTATTAACAAAGTATCGAACTGATTGTGAGCCACAGCAACACGTGGCGGGGCATCCTTAGTATACATATAGAATTCACCCTACTTTCATTATTGTGGAATGTGTACAATTAGCAAAATGTGTACAAATAGAAAATAATAATAATAATGTTAACATTAACAGAAACTTTTTAATACTTGATGATATTATAATAAAGATATTTTTTTTTTCATAGGTATAAGAATGAATTATATTCTGCGTGAACATAAACAGTTATTTTTACAATCTTCTCAGCATGCATTAAATTGCATATCTTTTAATAAATTAAAAATATTTAAAAGAGTAAACTATCTAGTCTGTGTATAATATATAATTTCTCTCATATGTTTTATCGATGCTGAAACAATGAATACTTTTTATAACAATGGCAGAGTGTGTACTGTTTTTTCCAATTTTTTTGGAACTTTTAGATCATATATTATATCTTAAGAGTAGGGTCAAACACCAATCGTTTCATTTAATTTTTTTTATATGAACCATCGGTGGCATAATGAGTAACTGTACAATAGGGATCCTATAGGAGGGTTGCGCTAGGGATCCTGTAGAAGGGATGCGCTATGTACATTGCTGGGGGACCGGAACTCGATTTTGCGCGCGAATGATTCAAACGTTGAAATAATTATGAAATAATGAATTGCATCAAATACAGAAAAAAAANATAAATTTTATTTTGATCAAGTGAGAAACATTGAAAGTCCGCTTGAGATCCTTGCTAAATTAAAAGACTTAAAGGCTCTTGAAAACACCGTATYGAMKTGTTCTATTCGTAAAAGGCTGTATAACATACAATATAATCCAAGCAAAGAAAGAGTTAATGATTTTTGCAATAGATTTGAAGAAATTGTACGAACATTTGACGACCTTTCGGGAACTGAAAAAATATCAGAACAAGAGAAAAGAGAAGCATTTTACCACACGGTTTACAAGTCAGTACCAAGTGTGCAAGTTGTAGACTTCGTCAAAAAGAGCCACCAGGGAAGTGGTTTAACATATGCTCAATCGAAGGACTTTCTCACTAAGAAGGAGACAGAAAGGCTGTCATCCAAAGAACATTTAACAACCACTGCGTTGTGGACTGAGTCACAACAAAGAAAATTTAAGAGCTACTGCAAGAACTGCAAAAGACCAGGACACTTGGCATCGGAATGTGAAGAAGTAAATAAAACTAATTGCTTTGTATGTGATAAACCTGGCCACATAGCTAAACATTGTTCGTTAGCCAGATTACCAGCTCATCGACAGCAAGGTGGTTCGTCACTGAACCATAAGGGCCGCGGGTATACTAGCACTCATTACCGAGGCAGATTAGGAAGATTTAGACGTCAATTTAGTCAAAAGCGTGAGCATGAGGGTAGGTCTAAATTTGAAGGTGAGCGCAGGCTTGATCTATGTCGTCGTGGAGCAAAGAGAGGCAGGTTTAGTATTCGTGGTGGCCGAAGAGATAGCTAAGGAGGTAGTCAAGGTGCCAGCACCTTTTCAGGTGAGAGTCTCGAGTGTGAGTCAAATGAAAAAGGTAATGTTCTGTTTGTAGAAAAATGTCAGCAATATCTGGGTAACTTCAATTTTAATTACAGAAATAATGCACTAGAACGGTTTATCGCGGACTCGGGTGCTATAGAGCATCTGTCGAATTCTAAGTTGATTTTCAAAGGATTAAATGAATTAGACGTTAAATCGATTAAATGTGCTAATAGAAATTCTCAGGCGGACTTGCAAGCTAACGGTATAGGTACAGTAAAATTAAATTTGCAGAATGGAGAAACATGCGAATTGCATAATGTTATATATGCTAAACCCAGTGAACACACCAACGTAACAGTGATATCACTCCTAGAGAACATGTAAAATAACAAATGTAATGTAAATTTTACATTCTTGTGATACAAATTGTTATGTAAATGGGACATCAAATTTGTGACGTAAATATGCCATTAAAATTACATACATGTTACATACCGAGTAACATCACATTAGTAACCTTAGAGTGATGTTATATTTATATAACATAGTTACGTTAACTTTACATTCTAGATATAACGTCACTATTACATACCTAAGTTAACTTATAAATAACATAACCGATGTGACTCTGTTTTATCATCACATTTACATCACAATGTAATATTTCAATTATGTTCATATTGTTACAGAACACCTATATAAAATAGTTATATTTTTTTTACTTTGGAATTATATGTCAAATTATGTTAAAAAAGTAACTTTGAAATTATATAATGCGTTGTATCTGCATTGCTTTATACTGCATTTTGCATAATGCATCAATATTTGAATAGGAATATTTTTTTACAGAATTAAATTCCTTATAAGTATATATTTTCAGTGCATTAAATAAATATGTCTAAAGGTTAGTGTACCACCGGTGGTACACGTGGCACGGAACGTGTTAATTAAAATTTATATTATTTAATATTATTTATTAATTATAATTAATAATATTATTA